AAATAAATCGTGAGATGATGTGGCTTCATACACAGAATAAGGCTCACAACATATTAGGGCTGCACGATAAATCGCATGCGATATTGAACGCGCATCTTGTCAGTAAAGCCATTCTGTAATCAGCGGTAAATCTCCATCACGTGCGGGCTTTCACATGGAGCAGCATTAACTACACAGAGCCGTTGTTCTCTGGCTGCGCAAAACATGCGCAAAATATGATCGTGGTTTTGCGCAGCTTGTCGGTGAACAACGGCTCTGTGTAGTTAATGCTGCTCCATGTGAAAGCCCGCACGTGATGGAGATTTACCGCTGATTACAGAATGGCTTTACTGACAAGATGCGCATTAAATATCGCATGCGATTTATCGTGCAGCCCTACAACATATTTCATAGTATTCTAAGCAGTGATAAAGTTTCTTTCATTTAACATTGCAACCTTATTATAATAAAAATTATAATAAGACAAACTTAGATAAACCATATATTGTCGTAGTGATTAGTCACGTAGTTTTATTAGTCGTAGTTTATTAGTCACGTTGAATTAATGAAACCACTTAAATCTTCTGTTTATTCAGCAACCGCTATAGGGATTTCTTCTGCGGGGTGTATTTGGAGTTTCCGCGTGAGAGCGCCCTCTGGCCTTCAGATGGAGATTTACTACTGATCACAGAACCTTGCTTCCCTGACAAGATGCGCATGACAATCGCAGCTTTTGCCTAATCGCGATTGTGATTTAATTTTGATTAATCGTGCAGCCCTAATCACCGGTAAACTGAAGCGCTCTACAGGGCTCCAGACAACAAAATCACTAAGGAGCCATTGGTTCCTATAAGAAACAAAAATAGGTGCCATATTGTTTTTTAAGTGCCACAGAATAAACATTTTATTTATTTATTTTAAACACATTAACATTTCAGTCATACTGTCATGTGTTTATGTCTCCCCTCCTTTTACAGCATCAGCATTTTAATCCATCTTGTAGATGTCCTGGGAACTAAGGTTCACTTAAAGTGGGAACTAAACGTCTTTACAAACTTGAGAACTATATACAGTCACAAAGAATTGTTTATTACACAGAATCTGTGCCAATATCACAGACCACAATTATGACAGCATCACTTGGCCATTAGGTGTAGTTTGGCTCCTCCTCAATGCATCCTATAAATGTTGTCATATGTCCTGCACACATCCAGTCTGTTTTTCTTCATTAGTATCATGCATTTATATAGAAGGTGTTGAATTTTATCTTTAGCTCCTTGCATTCTTTCTTATGTAGACATCAGGTTGAGTAAAACTATGAATATGCAATATAGTGCATATATTTAGCAAAATGCTTCTCTTTATAGTTATTTTTTTCTAGTGGACTAATGAGCTTTTGGATGCCTGAAAGGTTATTCTGAGGAAAATGATTGTTACACGTTTTCCGTAGTTTGAAGCACTGAATGAACGATTCCATGAGACATTTCAGTAAGTTGTATTGTGGTGTTCAATAGTGTTCAACAGAGATGAGGACTGTTTAAAAGTCTTTTTTCCGCTAAAACTTCGATGCGCATCATCTCAGTTTATTATGGCAACATAACAAAACATGTCAGTGCAAAACAAGCAGGAAAAAAGGCTTTGCATGCGAATTTTTAAGTCATAAATACATTTATATAGTCGCCAGTGGCGATCTCAGCAAAAATATCACTCGCAAATTAATATTTGTAGTCACAGTCTGGAGCCCTGGCTCTCATTGCAGTCAGCAGGTGTTGCAGTGCTTCAGTCCAAAATAAGTTAAATAAAAAGCGCCCATCCATAAAAAAAATGTCTCACACGGCTCCAGGGGGTGAACGAAGGCCTCCTCTAGCGAATCGATGTGTTTTTGTAAGAAAATTATCCATATTAACTTCTTTTGGACTGATGCACTGCAACACCCGCTGACTGCCACTAAACAGCCTGAAAGATCAAAGACAATTTTTAATATAACTCCGTCTGGATTCACCTGAAAGAAGAAAGTCATACACAAATAAAATAAACAATATTACAACGTACAATTGCACAAAAGGCTGCAAATACACAAGCGAACTTAACTGTGCTAGTCATGAAAGTGTAGCTCTGTTGTGATTGTGCTCTTCCCGTAACAACGTGCTGAAAGACGGGCACAAAAAGATTCCACATCATTATTTTACAGTACATGTTCTCATTATAATTTTATGTAGTCAATATGACAGACTTACCATGCACATGTTGCACTTTAACTGTATTTTCCTTTTCGAAGTTACTCCAATATTTCAAGCAATTCATAACCATCATGACAAACAATGCGCATTTGTAGTGTCTCTGAAGGAAATAATGCATTATTTATTGGCTTTAATATATTGGCCAAATTTTCTTATCAGTTTTATGACAATAACAGTAAAAATTTACATTTATCGGCCGATACTGATATGGTGGCTGATGTATCGTGCATCCCTAATTTATATCTTTACATTTTGCAATTCTGACAATTTTTTCTTTGAATTCTGAGTTTACACAGGATTAAAAAATTAATTGCAACCATTTATATTTACAATTCTGACTTTCTTTCTTGCGTTTCCCAGTTTGTATTTCACAATTCTGACTTTTCTTCTCACAATTCAGAGTTTGCATCTCATAATTCAGGTTTTTCTCAAAACAGAACAAAAAAAATGTATCTCAAGGCAATTTTAATCTCAAAATTCTGACTTTTCTTCTCAGAATTGGGAGTTTATATCTTTACATTTCAGAATTCTGACTTTTTATTCCTCAAAAATCTGAGTTTATATCTCGCAATTTATTTAATTTTTTGTTTTGTTATGTTTTGTTTCCACCATGGAAAAATAAATATATATTTTTAAAAAATCCTTTTTTTTTTGTCATCTCACAATTCTGACTTTTCTCTAACATTTTCAATTGTATATTTCACATGTCTATATTTTAAAGGGGTCATATGATGCGATTTCAAGTTTTCCTTTCTCTTTGGAGTGTTAGAAGCTCTTGGTGCATAAAGAAGATCTGTAAAGTTGCAAAGACTAAAGTCTCAAATCCATGTGTTTTTTGAACATTAAAGCATGTCAACATATTCTGTTACAACAAATACACAAAATAATTATCTTTAAAATAGCATCATATGACCCCTTTAAAATTGTGAGATAAAAAGTCAGAATTGCGAGAAAAAAAGTCAGAATTGTGAGAAGTCGCAATTACCTTTTTTATTTATTTTTTATTCCATGGCAGAAATAGGCTTCCATTTAATGAAAATGACTATAGTTCCAAACTCTTTCTCTCTTCAGAACTGAAATCTGTCCTTGCACCTCTTACTCTTTCACTTCATCTCTCTGTTCTCATCATGCACACATTCACAGAACATGCTCAGCACAGTCATCACAGTCCCAGCTGTGAGCACTCAGTGTAATACCGTCTGTCAGCAGACACACACACACACACACACACACACACATTCCCGTGGGTTTACACACCTGCCTCTCTTAGTCATGTTCCCTCAGCAATTCTGTTCGGCTTTTCTGCCCAGTCTAATGAATTAACAAATCAATAGAAACAGCCGCACACATACACACACACACTTGCCAAAGGTAGAAGGAACCAAATATAAAATAGCACAGCTAGATACAAAAACAAACACATGCATATGTCTGGATATGGATGCATGACCCTTCTGACGGCAGAAAACAGTCAGCATTATGGCAGCTGATTTAGGCAGGTGTGTCTGTGTTTGAGTGTGTGTTGCAGGGATGATTTCACGGCTGACGGAGCACAGGGTCAGGATATGTCAAAGAAAGTGAATGAGAATGAGAGAGAGAGAGAGAGAGAGAAGGGGGAAGGGAAGTCAGACGTAGGACAAAGGAGAGGATGTCAGAAAAGGGCTCCTTGTCGGCTCCTTAAACCTGTTGGTCTTCAACCAGGAGCCAGTAACATCAGAAAGCAGAGAGCAGGTCAGTAACCTAAAACCACAAATAAACTCAAACCCCTCTCATTATAAACAGCCAATCTGAATACATTTAAAGCACCCACCACTTTGCTCTGAAGTGCAGCGCGATTTGCTTTCAGTCCACCGGCAATCAATTCCTATTTTTGTCATACAGTAAATCTACTCAACTCCAGCCACTCTATTTTCACCTTCTGTTTTAATTAAGATAAATGTATTTACAAATTTCATGCTTGTGAATTGTTTACTACTCACTGGAATTGAATTAAGAATGCAATTCCTGAATTTGAATTGAGTCAGTAAACAGAATGCAGTTTGAATTTGAATGTAAGTAGAATTATATATTTGAAATTCAAATCAATTGTTATAACGGCAATAAAACAATAGAAAAAAGATACAATGATAGACAGAACAATACAACAACAAATCAAGCAATAAAACAATAAAAAGATGGATGGATGGATGAATGGAACAATAGAAGAATACAACAATAAATCAAATGATAGAATGATATACAGAACGATGGATGGATGAATGAATGGAAACATGGAAAGATACAATGATAGATAGAATAACAGGACAATACAACAATAAATCAAACAACAGAACGATAAATAGAATGATAGATAGAATGATAGAACAATATAGCCTATAAAACGATGGATGGATGGATGGACGGATAGATAGAACGATAGATACAATGATAGACAGAACAACAAAACAATTCAACAATAAATTAAACAATAGAATGATAAATACAACAATGTATGGATGGATGAAATGGAATAATACTTCATTTAACAGAATGCATTGCCTATGTTAAACTTTGCTATGTTAAACTTCTCTGAATTGCAATTCAGTAAATTCCTCTTCCTGTCATTTCAACTCAGATTCCAATTTAACCCTGTGAGTTAAGGCCAATTCAACTCAAATTCCAAATAATGAGCTGACACTGACATAATTCCTCAATTTCTAATTTTGCCCCATTCTGGTTCCCAACTACCGATACTCAGGAGGCAGGTTATGTAGTAATGTGGTCAGCTGGGTCATTATTCATCTCTGAAGTCACTGGAAATACAGGTCTGATCTGAGAGAGGTTCACAGATCCTCTGCACTGACTTCAGCACTATTTCCTTTGAAAAGGAGTAACAGATAGCAAAAACGAACCAGAAAGAGAAAGACCGAAACTCTTAAGACACTGAATCCCAGTGATTACAGTAAATCACAAGCTGCCTTTCCTCTGGAGAACAATAGAGCATCAACAAAACCAAAATTTCCAGCCTCTCCTCTGCTGGCCTCAGCGCTCCTCTCGTTTAGACGGTGAGCAGTTTCTCAGTAATGAGGCTCATTTACATGGCAGTCACAGTGGCCCCAGAGGATCCATCAAGCCGCCGCCCCCCCCCCCACAAACCCAAGGTCTCTCTTATGATTGTCCCCTTTGAGTTCTCTCATGAATTACTTAAAAGGACACCGAATTGAATCAAATTGAACTGTACAGTCAGTGTAACGCCTCCTGAATTTGTACTTTTCAAATGATCAAATGATGGTCAGATCTCTGCTGTCCAAATACTGCTTTATTTAACTCTGGCAAACGATTGATTTCAACATTCAAAACTCACTTTAATGATGACTTTATGAATCCCATACACCTAAATCAATGGCAAAATAACATTTCCATCCTTTAACAACACAATGCTGCACAGCACAAACCTAAAGCATTTCATTAATGAATTAATTTCATTTTAAAAATCAGACCTTATGTTCACATCCAGTCTTTACTTCTGTAACCTCACCTCTACTGTACAACCACATCCAATTCAGACCCATCAGCCCTTAGCAAGGATAGTCAGTCTTTCACTCCTAAAGAAACAACTTGACAAGGTCAGTTTTCTTTCCTGCGTTAATGTGTTTCCTGTTGAAACAGTTAGTCTGGGCAGAACATATTGCGAGATGACTCATGAAAAATATTTGTTCAGTTTTCCCAGAGGAGAAAGACTGAATTTTTAATGTGTAAATCTGCTGCAAGTTAATCTTGTGAAGTTATGAGTACACTAGCATACAAATTAACTCAAAGTTACAGACACTGACTGGTCTTTAAAAAGTAAAGGTTACGATTAGAAGCAAAAAGAGTTTTATAGCCCTATTCCATATGAAACGCCATGAGCTTCATCGTTGTTTTGCACTGGTGTTTGATGTACTGGTGCTTCAGAAAAACTGAGGAGAACTTCATTTGACTTCTGTTAACAAACATCACCAAAAACCAAATGAATGCTGCAGTGTTGATGTATTTTTGTGGGCCAACCTGGGATTTTGCATCACCCTGGTTCCCTCAACAAAAGTCCAATAGGATTTTACCACTGGCCTTTAGATTACTGCAGAAAATAAACTCTGGGACCAACAAAAGGTTGATTCTTACACATTTTGTTCATCATTATCTTCACAAATGAGCATAACTTTTATGAATCTTGAAGCCTACATAAAATCAACCAGAAGTAAAAAGCTAAATGTACACTGTAAATTCAAATAGTATTCCTTACTATAAAAACACTAGTATGTTTACTTGATTTTAATCAAAATGTTGAGTTTACTACAAATTTAAAATTGTTGCTGAAATATTAGAATAGATAGTTCCTATAACTAACGTAATTTAAGTAAAATTGCTCAAAATTTTCAAGACATGCTGTTACGCATGTTTACTGGACGACAATTCCCCCTCCCCCACACAGCGCAGAACTACACGGACTCAGGATTCAACGTTATGTTTGCAGAGTGGATCTACTTCGGCAAAATCAAGGTAAAAGCCTTTTGCTTGTTGCATGCTGTTTTGTGGAACTTCTTAGCCCAAGTAAAGAACTCAAACATGTTTTGACTACTGCGCGTTATTTGAAGCAATTTCAGTTCAAACTAGTTAATGTCCACTTCATATCTCTAAAATTTGCTGTCTGGTTGTCTATTAATTACTATTTTATCCATTTTTACTAGTGATGGGCATGAGTATATGAGTAATTACGTAATGTGACTTTTTACAGAATTTGAAATTCAGTGAGAAGTCAACAAAACACGTCAGATGGGGATCTTGTTTTTAATGGTGTGATTGTTATGGAATAGTTTTCATAAGTGCTTGGCATGTACTGTTGGATTTCTGGACGCGGCACTTTCGAGTGAGGCAGCTCAGAGACATGGACGCATTCACACTAGAGAGTGAGCAATCCAATCAAAGTACAAACAAATGGAAAAGACCGCTATATCTTCAGACCAGTTTTTTTTTATCTATTTTTTAACTTGACACTGTGTATTAAAACACAAGTATGAGTGCTAAATTACAGTCAAGTTGCAACAAAAATAGTATGCATGCTTTTTATGATAATTACGGTAATCTGCAGGCAGTACGAAACGACTGGCATTCTGAGGGTTTTTTCAGATTAAATTGTCAGCGAGTCTTTAGCAGACACCATCACCTCCTCAAGCAGAGCATAAACAACATTAAAACTTATTTAATTATAAGTTAAGTCATAGACTTTAACGGTCTTAGTTTTAAAAGAATACCCAATACCTGATGTTTCCATTTAACTCATTGGCTAACTATATTGCATAAGTGGCCCATAAAAAAAAAAAAAAAAGAAAGAAAAAAAAAACACTGGTCTAGTGGAAATGTAGGTTCTGAACATGCTTTAGTTTGTGTTAGTTACAAGTGCCATGTTTGTGACTTAACTGTCATTACTTACATTTTCTTTGCAGAGAGGATCTACTTTGATAAATTCAAGATAAATGCTTTTAAGTCTTAATTTCTACATTCATTTAATTTTCTTGCACAGACCGATCATTTCACTTCACAAGACCTCAATATATCATTAGGAGCAAAAGATATTCAATTTGTGTTCTTTGATATATATATATATATATATATATATATATGAGCAATATCACTCGAGTACGAGAGCGATACCGGCTCTATATCAGCATGGCTGTGATTAGGCCAGAGTGTAAATATATAAGAAAACAACAAAGGAGTGTCTTTAAAAACTTTTTTGTGCGGAACTACTTCCTTCCGCCACATATTCAAATCTCAGTTTGACAGTTTAACAGCTGAGCCCAAGCCTCCGTAACTAATTCGAATACGTCACTTTAGAACTAGTAACGAAGGAACGTTGATTGTGATATTGCATTTATACAACAGTTCGACGGCACGAGTGTAAATATATAAGAAAAACAACAACGGAGTGTCTATAAAAACTCTTTTGTGCGGAACTACTTCCTTCCGCCACATATTCAAATCTCAGTTTGACAGTTTAACAGCTGAGCCCAAGCCTCCGTAACTAATTCGAATACGTCACTTTAGAACTAGTAACGAAGGAACGTTGAGTTGCTTCATTAAAAGTTTATTGTATCACTGTATTAAAAGCTCTAACTGTACTATGTAGAGTATTGTGAGAGAGAGATGGACTGAGCGAGTATGATTACATGCATCTGATACAGCATTCATTCTAGGGCTGTGCGATTTGGGGAAAATATCTAATTGGCTGTCTATGGCTCTTTCATCACAATACAATGTGAGAGAGATGGACCTGAGCTACAACAACCTGCAGGACTCAGGAGTGGAAATACTCTGTATCGGATTAAAGAAATTACCCAACATGGAATCACTGGATGCTTCTATAGGGTAAAGCTAAACATCAGGGCCCATATTCACAAAACATCTTAAGGCTTAAAGTAGCTCATAACTTGCCGATTTAGGAGAAAATCTTAAAAATAATGGGTGTGTCAATTCTAAATTTAGGACTCCTAAATTTTTGCTCTAAGAGTATTTCACAAAGCGTTTTAGCTCCTAAGTCACTAAGACCAAACCACAAACTAGGCCTATCTATCCTGCTGAAAAAAACAATAGAAACCATCACAGAAATTCTTATCCTTTTTATAGTGTGTTTTGGGCATTATTCCAATAGGAATTACTGTTGTTCTATTGGTTCCCATCTGCCAGATTACATCACACCAATAGAATACTAGTAGACACTATTATATTAAAACCAATACAATTCCCATTATAACCCTTAAATCCATTAAATTTTCTATTGTGTTTTGGTAGGGCTTCTATTGTTTTTTTTCAGCAGGGAAGATTATAATGGTATTACTATTTTTACAGAATTTACTTAATTACTGAATTTCACAGGAAAGATTTGTTTTTGTATAAAAAAAGAACTGTATTACTTTAGTCCTATTATGCAAAGTATTAAATAGGTTACAGGCTGATTTATTCATTTTTAAGTATTTGTGATTTTAAGAACAAGTGGAAAATCTGCTGAATGTTTCATGAGGAGCGAGTATGAGTATTTTAGAGACACAGGCTGTGTGTGCAGTCTTCCGAATTGGGAATAGCGAACATGCATTATAAATTTATTTCAAATTAGAATCTGTTGGGAAGATAAAATGTGTAAGATAACGTTCATGTACTAATAAAAACATCTAAGAATGTATCTTTTATTCTCCAGTACTAAAAGCAGAACCGATAAGGGAGCTCTTATGCATTGTGGCACAGCTCTTGCAAATTCCCTTTTTTGTTCGGTGT